TCTATATATTGTATCCCCATAGTTTTCCAGTTCCTTGAGAATCTAACATCTTTTCCCTGACACAAATTCCTTAACCTGTATGGGACCTATAGATATTGACCAGCGTCTTCTCTGTAGTGCTCATCCGATTCGATTCAAATCTCTGCTGTCGTTCATCACAGCAAGCAGCTCACTCTTCTGAGCTACAGCTGAGTGAAAAGATTACTCACATCTCCTAGATCATAGTGCAGCTCATGCATTCCTGGGATGACTGCTTTTACCCCCAGCCCTGTGGCACTGCAGACAAAGTCTGTGTGGCAGACTGTTTTCCTTAAGACATACTGTACTCTGGTAGAGGTTCAATACATCCTTCTGTACTGACAGTGAAGCCAGTTATCTGGTCTTTCTACAGCCTCACTTGCAGGAGGTGATTTTCCTACTTAATTCTTCACTACTCAGGTATTCAGCAAGTGCCTTAATTCTTCAGCTATAAGAAAAGACTTTTTTGTCCTCAAACACATGGTTCCTCAAAACCTAAAGAGAAGTGTGTACCTATTGACATTTCCATATTGAGCCCCACATACTGATCCTGTTATTCTCTCTGTAGACATTCTCCTTGACATATTTGCAAAAGCACTTTCTATTTTCCAAAATACTCTTGGTAAGGTGAAATCATTTGAATGTGTTATTGCCCATTCATATGAATCAGGCATATTTTTGGAGAATTTTCTAAATCTGTGAATGAAGCTCAGTGATTTGTCTTAAGCAGTTGCAGGTTGGTTAGTTTAGACTCTTAAACTTTTCTGTCTTTGCTGACTAAATATTTCCCTTTATTTTCCTTCTTTAATATTGTGTTTCCTTTGAACCAAGAAAAGGAGAAAAAAATATGTGGTTAACTGGGAAATCCAGGCAAAGGAATAATCTGAAATATTAAACATAATAGTTTCTGGTTATTTAGTATCATTCTGGGTACCAGAATAAGTGATATGTTTCTTCAAGGTTAATATAAGAATGATGAGATGAAGTATTCACTAACATAGCAGACACTATTATATAAATTACAGAAAAAAAAAAACGTAAAACAACATCTGTTGTAAACTCGGATCTCATCAGCTGGAAACAACAGGACAGAAGTTTAGTGTGACTAACAGCAGGTCACCTGCTCAATACAGCTGTGGGAGGAACTGTAGTGTGAGACTCTATTGCAGTTTTCCATGGAGACACAGGCAAGGATTACTGTCAAAAGTGCTCCTGGGATTGACATTTCCACTGAAATACTGCACGGTGTTCTTGTCACTTGTGTTCAACCCAAGCTGAAGCATCAGGCCATGGGAATATTTTGGCAGAGCAGCCACACCGTGGTGTTTCTCAAACCATGTTTCCAACCTCCTCGGAGATGATGTTTCAACTCCATCTCCTGGCTAAAAGCTGAGCTGCAAGTGTTCCTGGAAGATAACATCTCAGGAGTGTCTGAGAGCAAGTTAGGAAAGGAGATGGTCTCTGTCCTACAGAGATACTTTCCCAGATTCCAGCAATTTGTGCCTCAGGGTGATCCAGGGATTTCTGTATAAACAATAGTCCATTATGGAAAAAATTAATAGCATGAAAATCCTACTGATTTTTGAACATGTTGTACTCCTATCCTCCACAGTGCCCTGTGGTGGGGAGTTTCACAGCTTGCCTGTGTGTTGTGCAGGGAGGTACCTCTTCTTGTCTGTGCTGAATCTGTCACCAATTAATTTCGGTTAATGCCTCATCATTATGCCGGATGATACCGAGAATGAGCAGTCCTTGTTTTTTTCCCCGTGCAAATCAAGGAGAAGAATACTTTTATTGCTTTGTATGATGACTTTTCCTCCCTCTGTCGTTGCTCTTCCTGTCCAAGCACAGAGGACAGCCTGCAAAGGCATCTGGCCAAGACCTCCTCACCTGCTCTTGCTGGCTAAGCAGTTGTCTCCAGAACAGGTTTGTGCAACAGGGCTGTGTACTGTGTCTTGCCAGGTATTGCAAAGGCCTATGATGTCCCTGATGTTCCTGTTCTTGTACTGAGGCATAAGAGCTCAGTTTTTGGTGTCCCCATGCCCCACAAGAACAAGCATTTGATGGCACAGGGCTAGGACGCAGCTGCAGTAATGGGTATAGCAGTGGCTGGCAAGGCCACATCTGCCTGTCATGTAAACCTGTGTTATGGCCAGGAGGAGAGCTGTGCCTTGACACAAGTTCAGACCTGTCAGACCATATACCTTGGAGAGCTTGGATGCTTCCTTCCAGGGCCTGTTTTGACCTGGAGTGGGCAAGTCCCCCCATTGGACTCAGTTAAAATAACACTTGGACTAGGGGAAGAGCTGTAAGAGTCTTTGGTGGTGGGGACAGTTATTAAGGGCTCTGTATTGCTGGCTCTGAGGATGCTCTCCTTAGCATAGGAAAGGACAGTTCATGTGGATGAGAGAGAGAAGTTGCATGTATTTCATGCTTTGCTGTGGAGAGGCAGTAGCCAGGCCACAGAACGCTGGGAGGAAGCAGAAATAGAAGCTGGAAGTGACTTGATCTAGGGAGGCAAGACTTCTTGCTTGCCTGCTACTGAAAGTGAGGCCAGAGGCCTTGATGGGCAGCTGTTGTGATGTTCTTGCCAGACCGCATGAGAGCCAGCCTGAACCAGAAGGGCAGATGTGGCCTCTTGCATAACTAGAGTGCTATAGTGGTGCCAGGCTGGGTATTGAGGACTGCCAGGCATGATCCTCCACGTGGCTGCCCAGGTCCCCATCAGGTTCCCATTGAGAGGGACGCTCCGAAAAGTGTGCTGATGCTGTATGGTTAGTCCTAGCTTCCTTCAGAGAGCAGCAAAGGTTCTACATATGTGTCATAACTCTCCATGCGCTGTCACTTATACCTGATGGGAAGGACTACCTGAGGCCACCAGTTGGTACTGGTTTTCCAGATCTTCTCTCCACATTTGGAAGAGTGATGACAGAAGCAGCTGAGACAGCTGCCCCACCTGTTGTGATTGACCTGAGCTGTTTCCAGCACTGGATTGATGATTTATCCAAAGCTCTTGGAGCTACCGTCCACCTGCCTTAACATGATGCCTCTCATGAATGGTGGCTTGCCTAGAAAGAATCCCTCTGGAGAGCTTTCCTTGCTAGAGACTGGAGAGGGCATCACAGGCTACTTGGCAGAAAATGTGTTGGCTGAAGAAGTATCAGGACCAGCAGCAATATGGGACCCAGGCCGTTTCTCTGGGATAGATTCCTTTGGCAATGTAGGTACTGGCTACATGAAATCTCCCTTCTCTGGGTGCTTGTATTTCCTTAAAATAACTTGCATAGCTTTGCAAGAGATAACATCCCTCTGAAAAAGCTACCTTTCCTATTATATCATATTTACCCATATGCCCACTAATTGTATTCTTTAGTAGATTTTCTACTAATTTATGCAGTTTATTTATGAGGCTTAATGATCTGAAACATCAAGAAAAAATTATATCACATTAGCAAGCTTCCAGTCTTCTGCTAACCAAGGCACTTCCAAGTGTGAAATTATACCACACAGTTAGTAGCTGACCTGTTTCTTTCTCGAATTATTTGGTACTTCCTGGTCCTGCCACGTTCTTAATATTTTGTTGATTTGTTTCTAATCTCTTATCTGTTCTCTAATTCTCTCTCCAGAGATTTCAATTTGAGGCAGATCCTTTCTCATGTTCTGTATGAGGGTGGGCTCAGAGCAGGTTCCCAAGCTTCTGTAAGGTAAACACTGGTGCAGAGGAAGTCTCTGAGCACTCTTGTTGCATATGCAGTATGTGCTAGCCCTAGGGAGCTGATTACTGGTTCTCATGCTTTTTGCAAGGACACACTTTCTGATTTTAATAGCTTCTCTTCTTCTATCATTTAGCCATTCAAAATATATATTATTTTCTCATAGCCTTCTTTTAAGCTATATGCATTTGCTTTGAACCTGCAATATGTTTTTTTTTGAATAGTCTTTATGCCACCCACAAAGGGTTTTCAGACTTTCACTTCTTCATTCTTAGATATTTTTTCTATCTTGACATTAGCAGAACAGTATTGATTTTTTTAACTTGCTCTTGGGGGCAGGGTGAGCACAGTGTGTCAGTATACTATTTTCTTCAAAATAACCTCATGAACCATAATAACTGCATACTGCCAGCGGCAAGCCAAGAGCTACTTTTCCTACAGTAAGTTCCCAAATAGCTGTTTTGTGAAGTACACATCAACGGGTCCCAAAGCACAGTGTCAGCATCATGTCCTGAAATGACATTTACCCTATTTACTTGAGAATATTTGGAGTCTCCCATTATGACTTCTCTCCTGCAGCTTCTCTGGTTTCATCAGATTTTTGCCTTTGTCACTATCTTGCTTTAGCAGCGGATAATGTAGTCCTGATGAGATGCCTCCATCCACAATTGTTCTGTCAGCCTGGTTGGATTGTAACAAGAATAAAAGAAAAAGCCAGTGATTGGGTTGATCAGGAGCCTGGGGAGCCTACTATATGAGAGGAGTTTTCCTGTTTCACCTAGGAAAATGAAGATGGGGAGGAGAAATGTGGTTACTCTGTAGATATGCAGCAGGGGAGAGCTATTTAAGTTAACCATGCCTTGATATTCTTGATAGCAGAAAAGGAAGGAGTGCTGCTGTTCTGGCTGGGGTCTGCTTGCTGTTTTGCACTCTTCATAAGGCTAGTGAAAACCTGCTGTTAAGGTACTAATGCTTTCTGCACTCTTGCAGTCAAAATACAGCATATTTCTTGTTCACACTTTGATACAATTCATTAAATCAGTGAACTAAAAAAATGCCAGTCTTTGATCTACAATTAAATGATCACTTAGGTGTTGTTTTTTAAAATTGTGTAATGAGTTATCTCAGACACATGCTTCAGAAAAAGTGCTAATTTAATGACATAATTGGAAGGCAAGAAATCATTCAAACCTTAAAATCAATGGCAATCTCATCAATCATCTGTTGACAAGTGTTACATGTATGTTTTTTCCTTTTCTTTTCTTGCAGTTTCACCTGGCTTTGCAGCCAAGTCCACACCAGCCTGGCAACCCACTTCCGTGGTCAAATTGTTGCAGACTTTGACAAGGAATTCCGGTACTTGTATGCCGAATCCAAAGCCATGACTAACTTCTGTGTGCCAGATCCTGGAGGACAGCCCTCTTCTCAGAATACCTCGATGGATGGTGAATTCCTTCTGAAAGCTGCCCAGGCAAACGACACTGAAACCTCCAGCCCCTCAAGCAGCCTCTCAAATACAAGCATCAGAAGCATAAAAATGTCTCCCTTTCTGAAAAACTCCACCTGCAACATACAGCATGAAAGACAAGATTTGAGCCCTGATCATGCTAGTACAAAGGGCAAGGAAGACACATCTCCAAAGCCTCCTTGCTCTAAGCAACAAGGGGAACCACCAGACTCCCCTCACAGTCTTCCAAATAAATCAACCCCAGCTGGGCAGCACAAATCAACTCTCTACTCCCTGCCAAGACAGGAGCAGAATTTGCAGTCCCCTTCAGAGAGTGCCAATAGCAATGGCACAAGTGAGAACCAGAAAGGGCTCACTGTTACCTCCAGGGACCTGACGGCAGGCAGTGACAACAATGTTTTCGGGATGGAGAAAAGACAGAGTCCTGCACAAGGGAAATTGGACCTGCTATCTCCATACAACCAGCTAAAACGAGAGAAGAAAGGTGTGATTCCTTGCTATGACAAGCTCAGCGAGGAAATGCTGATGGAAAAGAACAGTGTGTATGGGGCTGAGAAGAGAATGACTCTTGGGCATAGTAAGCTAGATTTGATCACCAAATACAACAAGTTAAAATCTAAGCACATACACAGTCGCTTCGAACTCTGATGTGGTTCTCATGGGCCTTGAGATGTCCTTTCATCTTGCTTACTCATGGTTGTTTTTCCCTACCAATCATCATACCTGGTGCTTGAAGTCAAAACGTGGGTGGCAAATTAATCTTATTTCTATCAAAAAGTATTTGTGCTATGCTGCTGTCTCCAATATGTGCAGGTCACTGATTGAGGTGGGATTAACAATTGTGATTTACATTTGCCACTACGAGATGGTGGTAAGAGAAAGAAAAAAAAATCCACATGTCCACTTCCTTTTACCCATTTTGAAAAGGACCATTCTCCCAAAAGCTCTTTGTCCTGACTCCGTTTGTCCAGCAATGTTTTCAGGATGAATCCAGATTTTCCTTGCACACAGCAATTCCTCTTCAGACTGCCATTTGCTGCAAATGAAATAGCAACTTGGGTGACAATAAAGGAGCTATTCTGGCTGAGAGAGCTGTGTTGAGTCTGTCCATGGGAGATGGGTGAGCTGAGCTGTGCCGTGCCAGCATGACATGGTGTTGTGTAGGCAGACGGGTGGCATCTGGGCACCCATCGTGGGTGCATGCAGGTGGCGTCTGGGCACACGGGTGGTGTTTGAGCACACAGGTGGCAGCTGGACACCCGTGGTGGTGTGCGGAAAATCTTGCTGTCAAGAACTGAAGGTCCAAAAAGGAGACAGAGGAGTCCTAAAACTTTATTCGAATTAAGAGAGTGTCCATTGGGCATAGCCCTGTGGGGTCTCTCCAATTGCTGGAGGACACAGCCCCTCTTTTACCCTAATTCCCAACTTGCCCTCTCCTTTTCCCCATTGGCCAAGGGACTCAGCAGTTACAGCCTTCCCGGCCCGCCTACACCAAACTCCTGCCTCCCTCCACGTGTTCTCACCTGAGGCCACCTGACTCCTTTGTCCCCCTTGCTGAAGAATGTGGGGGAATTCCCTTATTTCCCTCCTTTGTAAAGGCCTCCAACTCTTGGCAGATGCTCTTGTCCCACTTGCTCATGGCTCCGCTCAGTCTCCCCACTCCCTTTGTCCCGCTCGTCAGCCAGACTGTGGGGGAATCCCCTTATTTGTGACTACACAAACTTGAGCATTCTGCTCAGTGGCATCTGGGCACCCGTGGCGGGCGCACGCAGGTGGCGTCTGGACACGCCGGTGACATCGGGACACACGGGTGACCCCCGC